TATCTCTGTGTGTGCCTGTGTGTGTATCTGTCTGTGTGTCTGTCTGTGTTTCTGTGTATCCGTGTCTGTCTGTGTGTCTGTGTTTGTGTATCTGCATGTGCGTGTCTATATATGTGTGTGTCTCTGTGTGTGTCTGTGTGCGTGTGTGTCTGTGTGTCTCTGCACGTGTCTGTGTGTGTGTGTGCACCAAGACCTCATAGGTGCACCAAGGCCTTTTCTTTCTGGAAACTCCAGGCCAAGTGGCTGTATCCCATGCCCAGAGCAGTGGACAGTAGGTGGCTCCCTTCGTGAGCTTTTGGGACTGTCCCCAACTTATAAATGACCTTATAAATGTTCATATAAATTGTTCTGATAAAGGATCCCCCTCTGCACCTAAAACTTCCTTCCTACGTGGGCTTGCTTCTCAAACATGGAATTAGTGAAACTAGACGCGTCGGCGCAACAGAGGCTCCTGCTTCCTGCACTGTCGCATTGGTCTCCAGGAGCGACATGCCACCGTCAGTGTACAAAAGGCCCCTCGCCTACAGCACAGGGGGCTTGTGAGGGGGTGTCGTTGTTGACCTTCTAAAGGTGTCACCTTGAAAGGGGAAGCCAGACCCCAGCCCTGGGCCTGTCAGAGCCTCTCAGCCCTCCAGCCTGGGGGTGGCCCATGGGCAGGTGGGAACGTGTGTTCTGCTCAAGTCTCAGATCCCTGCATCTCTGGAAGGACTGATAAGAAGAGGCCAGAACAGCCTGGTCTGCAGCAGCAGTTCAAGACCCTCCATCGGGCCATGGGATGCCCTTTCATAAGCGCTCTCGTGCCACGTGTATCGCAAGGCTATGTGTTTTTGTTTGTTTCTTTTCTTTTGTCAATGAGATTACTAAGCAAGGGATTCAACTGGTTCCATCTGCTTCCCATCAAATGTGGAAGAGCAGGTTTGGGGAGGTGGGTTGGGCTTCCATTCAGGTAGCTGGAGGGGCAAGAGGCAGCTGGAGGGGTGGGTGAAGGGGAGGACCTGGGGGAGGTCAGGTACCCTCCTGACTGAACCAGAGGGGGCAGAGCTGGGGACTTCTGTGAGAGAGGAGCAGATGGGCGAAGAGACAGGCAGGTGAAGGAGGGCGGGGGAGGAGGGACTGGCCTTTATGTCCCCACATGGGACCGTCATCGGATAAGGGGTGACTCTCAAGAGAGAGCAGTTCCTGGAGGGGTCCCCAGCTGAGAGCCCAGAGCTGCCAACGCTCCCGGGGTCAGCCCTGCACGGGAGTCTGGCAGTGCACTGCAGCCTCCAGGACACTGCTCCGACCTGAGCGGAGAAGTGACAGGCGAGACAGGACCCCCATCCCTAAACACAGATTCTAGTGTGAGTTCAGCGGCTAGGGCCCTGCCCCCTGGCCCTGGATGGGGCAGCGGTACCAGCAGTCTTCAAAGGCAGGGACCCCCTTACGGCAAGGGGTTGGGCTGGATGAGCTGAGGGCTTAAGGGACATCCGTGTCCCCCGGCTCCCCAGCTGATGCCCACCCTCCTTCCAGCCGACCTGTTTGACATCCTGCTGCCCATGCTGAACATCTACCAGGAGTTTGTTCGCAACCACCAGTACAGCCTGCAGATCCTGGCGCACTGCAAGCAAAACCGAGACTTTGACAAGCTGCTGAAGCACTATGAGGCCAAGCCCGACTGTGAGGAGAGGACGCTGGAGACCTTCCTCACCTACCCCATGTTCCAGGTAGCTGCCAGCCCGACCTGCCTGGGGGCCAGGGACATAACCGTGAGGGACACAGCTGGGAGGGATCCAGGCACTGGGGCACTGTCCCTATTGTAAGCCCATCTCTGGGCTGCCTGGGGAACAAACATCGGGGCTAGTCTAGTCCTGGCTGGGGGAGGACAAGCTGGTCGTGGCCCACGGAAGAGGTGGGGAAGGTGAGGGGCAGCCCCTGGAAATGACCACCGGGGATGCCCACTCCCCAGGCCCAGCTCAGGGCGCTGGTCCCCCAGGAAGACCCTAGACGTGGCTCCACCGTGAACGTTCATCAGACTTGAGCCAACGTGGTTGCCTTCCTTCTTTGTCCCTCTGCATGGCCGCTCTGTCTCTCCTTCTTACGCCTCTCTCTCTCTCTCTCTCTCTCTCTACGTCTCTGCCCTTCTCTTGCTCTTTGTCTCCGCCCCTGTCCTGTCTGTCATGTCCCTCTGCCCGTCCCCTGCCCGCAGATCCCCAGGTACATCCTGACGCTGCACGAGCTCCTGGCCCACACACCACACGAGCACGTGGAGCGGAACAGCCTGGACTACGCCAAGTCCAAACTGGAGGAGCTGTCCAGGTGAGCCCGCAGGCCCAGGTGAGCCCGCAGGCCCAGGCAGCAGCCTTGGGAGCAGACCCAGCAAGCAGCAGAGCCATTGCCCTCCAGGCAGGGTCCTGAGAGGTTTCGATCCTAGCCTAGTAGGGCATCATTTGGGACCCCATGCTTACGTGGGGTTCCTGGTACCATGAGAGTCAATGTGGGTCCCTGGCACTCTGTGGGGAGAGTGTGACTGAATCGAGGGCAGGGGTGGGCGGGATGGAACCCTGGCACTGATGTATCCCAGGAAGAACCCCAGACCCTCGTGTGTCCACCTCTCAGGGCAAAGATCTGCCTGGGGGACTCGCTTTCCACTGTTCTTCGGTCCGTGTGTCCAACTCTGCAGCCTTAGAGCCCCAGCCTGCTCTTTCTTTGTCACAACCAACCAGCTACCCCTGCCCTGGACCCCGCCCTGCAACACAGGAGAATGCTTTCCTGTTGCCATGACAATGGCTCTCTCATCCTCCTCACCCACTCCCCAGGGAATCCCGGCAGGAAACCATCAGATCACCAACTCTAGCCCCAGCTGTGCTCAGAATCACTCCCTCTGAGAGCTGACTTGCTCCAACCTCAGTCCTCATTCCCACCATTTGGTCCTGAACCCCTGGACCCTGGCTAGCCCAAGTTATCACTTTGGTTCCCCCAATAACCTTCCCTGTGGTCCCCAATTGAATGGGCAACCCGGGCCTCCCCGCAAGCCCCAGCCCGGAGGGCAGCAGCAGGACTCTCACACCTAACGGGAAACTAAGGTCGCTCCTTCGGAATCGCCCCTTGTTTGCCACCAAGCACAGCAAAGTCTCCTGATCAGACCAGCCAGTTGTCTCGGACTCGATTCCAGCTCCACTCCTGGAACTGCATTCCAAGGACTGATGTTTCGTAGGCCAATTCCCAGGTCTCTCCAAGGGAGAAAGACGAGGTGTCCCCTTACAGTGTTATAGTCTCAGAGGCCCACCAGAGCAGCCTGTCCTGTCGGACTGCTGTGAGTTGGGCAGTGAGGTTGGCTTGGTTTTTCTTCCAAGATGCCCAGTGCAGCACAGTGGAGCATGGCCTTCCTTTCCTCACACCCACAAACCCCTGATCAGGAAAAAGAGACTCTGACATGCGCACATGGCCAGGACACTAGCCTTTCCAGGAGAGGACTGCAGCCAGGCATCTGGGGAGAGGGCCGTTGCTTGAGGGGATAGAGGTGGGGCTTAAGGACCCCCTCTAAATGTCCTTCTCTTTTTTTCCTTTTTTTTTTTTGTATTTTTCTTGATATGAAACTCCCATAGCACACACTTCCTTAGTTAAGTCACTTTCAAAAAATGAGTTGTATGTCCATCATCACAATCCGTTCTAGTGCTCCCCTCCCCCCTCCACATTCATTGCTTGCTCCCCAATTCCCCTCACCTTCCCCACCCCCTCTGACCCCATCCCCGAGAAACCGCTCGTCAGTGAACTGTCTTTCCCGTTCCTCTGCGCTTCTTAAACTGGGAAACCTCACATAAACAGCAAAAAGCACACACAGATCAGGAAGAAGAAACCAATAATAATATAAAGATAAAAGTAAAAAGAAAGAAAAGACCACCAGCAACATTTTAAAAGAGACAAAAATTCTGCAAGTCCCACTGTCTTTATTAAAGTGCCAGTCTAGTGAATTTAAGCCTAAATTAGAACAATAATAACTAAATAATAATAGTCCTTTGGCAGCTGATGACTGCTACCCTCGATTCAAGGGCCTATTCCAGGCCAAGCATTGATCCAGGCAGGTGAAATGCATGGTCCTTACAGTTTACAGATGAGGAAATTAAGGATCGGAGAGGTTGATCATTTGCTTCACGGCATGCTGATTCAGTTACTTATAACCTTGTAAGTACATGGCATGCTGATTCAGTTACTTCGTAACTAGTTACTTACAAGGTTATAGTTCATTGACATGTGTTTAAATCGAATCATGTCATTAGGATACTAGTTTGTTGAGCAGATGAATTGGGGCAGTTTGGGTTTAGGAATAGCTTTGAGTGACAAGAATAGACCCCATGTCCTCGTAATGATGATATGGAGCACGCATTCTAGTTCGCAGAGAGTCTTGGGAACTGCCTCACTTCTTATTTCCGGACTGAGTATTAAAGAAGAAGGGGAGAGAAATGACTGTTATTGATCCTAAAGGCAGGCTGAGTTGAGCCCATTTCCTGCTGGTGACATCTTGGTGAGCCGTCCCAGTGCGCCATCCCCTGCCAAGTGGTGCCCAGCCAAATGTCCTCTCTCCCATAATCCTCAGACTACCATTTTAATTAAAATTTACAAAACCCCAAAATAAATAAATAAATCTAACAACACCTGTGAGAGAGAAATGACTGTTATTGATCCTAAAGGCAGGCTGAGTTGAGCCCATTTCCTGCTGGTGACATCTTGGTGAGCCGTCCCAGTGCGCCATCCCATGCCAAGCGGTGCCCAGCCAAATGCCTTCTCTCCCATAATCCTCAGACTACCATTTTAATTAAAATTTACAAAACCCTAAAATAAATAAATAAATCTAACAACACCTGTGAGAGAGGTTTGTAAGCGACACACGTCAGCCAGGCTCGTGGGGGTGGGGGTGGTGTCATTGAGTCCACCTTGACTCATGGTGACCCTGGGAACAACAGCACACACACTGCCCAGTCCTGCCCCATCCTCACCACGGTCGTAGTTGAACGCATGGTCGGGAGCACTGGGGCATTTCTGGCATGAGCAGACAAACAGCAAGATTTGTGATTTGCTTGTAGTAGTGAGGGGGAGGGGGTTGTTAGCTTTTCCAGAAGAACCCCCCCAAAAAAATCACTCTACTTTCCTAAGATTCCCTGGTAACCCATCAGACTACAAAATTGGCAGTTCACAGAGCTTGAACAGCGCTATTAAAAATAAAGGCTAGATGGCGCCTCCTTCTGTACAGGAACGTTGTTGCAGCTGTCAAAAAAAAAAAAAAGGCAGTCTGCCATCCAGGGAATTCAGACTCAGTGACCCTGGAGGACAGGGTAGAACTGCCTCTGTGAGGTTTCCAAGACGTTAGCTCTGCACGGGAGTAGAAAGCCCTGTGTTTCTCCAGCAGAGTGGCTGGTGGTTTTGAACTGCAGGCCTTGGGGATCACAGCCCAAAGCCTAACCACTCTACCACCAGGGCTCCCTCTTATAGCTGTTGTGATGGGGGCAAAGAGGACCCTAGTCTCTATTCTCAGATCAAGGGCAGGCTGCGCCCTGCTTTCCTCCCAGACCCACTGGGGCCATCTAGCTTGCCAGGGGGTCCAAAAATAGATCATCCTTGGGTCCAAATAACAATTTAAAAATACACCCACAAGAGGGGGAGGAGGGGGGAAGGGAAGAAGAGGGGATAACAAACACAGGGACAAGGGAACAACAAGCGATCCAAATTGGTGGGGAGGTGGGTGTGGGAGACCTG